AATAATGAAGAATCGATGTACTGTGATTTGTTTAATCATATCAACAGGAAAGTTCTCGTCAATTATTTATAATTTTGAAGAGAGCTAGTAAAACTAGGAGAACTTCTATAGTAATCGACTGATCGCCAGCTAGCGTTTTCTAATTGCGTCTTATCGTTAAACAGTTAGGAAAATGTTGCAACTACCGGTTGAACAACTACAGTATAAGCCGGGAATCAAGAATGCTTGACTTAAAAGCCCACCCATAGTTAACGATAACGTAGGATTACTTTAACGGTTAATTAGCGTTGTTTAATAGAGCACGTAAAGTGACAGAGAAGAGCATTAAGAGTCGCTTTGAATGTGTACGATAACAATTGGATAATATTGCAGCCACGTGTATTGCATCATTTTTATTTCTTATGGTACTAATAGGATCTAACTATCAGATGGCAGAAGGATAGATCAATTTAAATCGACTATGTCGATTTACTGGCAGTCGGACATCGCAAATGGGACGTCGCATAATACTATTAAAATAAATTGCTCTAATTCGTGTAGTTATGCATTTTGTAAGCTGCACTAAGTGAAAAATATTTGATATTTTTGATTATAATTTTATGATATAATAATATGGTTATGATTTATTTTTCTATTACTGCTATAATGTTATTGATAATAATTGTATTTATAATTTTATAAAAGAATATAATTAGTACCGAAAGTGATTGTAAATTATAATTAAATTATAGTAATTATGCTTTCTTAATATTGTATTGTTTAAACGAATATTTAAAAAGTCTGGCGACTCGGATAAATAATTTAATCAAAATTGATTCGAAATTTTAATGTACTCATTTTTTTTTTAATATACTCAGAATTATCTTTTATCGTACGTAAATGGTCATATTGTTGATAAAATAACTTGTACTTGCTTGCAAACAGGTTGAATAGTTTGCACTAGGAAGAAATATACTTGCGATATGCTTGAATCATAAGGTGGAATTCAACTTGTTAGCATACCACGAAGCACGACATATACGGCCCGATTAAGTTCCTCGGACCTCTTAAGACCATAGTGATCAAACAAAATGTGAGTCATTGTATTCGTTCGCGTTACAATGAGTTGCGTCCGTATAGCTCATCTATAATTAATTTCGCCACAGCGTGTTAAGTGCCTTGACGCATTGACTTGCATTTTTACCGTGCCCATCCTGTGCTCCCGTTTTCTTTCGCATATCGATCTTACACATCTGCTCACCTCTGCGTTACGCTAAAATGCACCCAATCGCCGATACTAGAGAATCGCACACGCCAGCTATAATTATTTCCAGTCATCGAACGTGAAGACACGAATCTTTGTGCTTGCGAAAGATCATGATACGCGTATCCTTAATCGATAGGGATGTGTTAATTAGATACTTTCATTGCCTTCGAAAAAGTGTGTCGCGATTGAATCCTTCCGGGACACTGAGAGTAATCTATTTAAAATAAAACTTTCCATTCTTGGCGAGTATGGATACAGGGTATTGCTGTAATTAGAAAGTATAATCGGCGCTGTATGTTCAGCGCTGCCAGGGGTCTTTGTCCGAGCGTTAGCTCAACTTCCTTGATATTAATTGACAATCTATTATGATAATCAAGTATACGTGTCAATTAATGAATGCACGGACATAAGCGTGACCGTTCGCAGGCAAGGCACAAATCTATGTATCCGCGAGGTTGGTCACGTTTTAGCTAATCTGGTTTCACGCTCCAACAATTATGCTCCAAGAGGCGCCTTTCTACATTCCACCGTAATAATCACAAATCGCTCTAATATTCGTATCTAGTATTTTCATATTATAATAATTTATTATGGAATTGTAGAATATAATTTCAATATAACGTACATTTAATAATCGAGGCATCTCTGGGCAAGCTGGGTATTTATGATCGATGCGCATTCGTCTGCACTTTCCTATACAGCAATTTACGTCAGTTGAACGCGATTACCGTAATTTATCACACTTTATTACATTTATATTCAATATATGCGTGAGAAAATTGTTATATAGTTTAAACAATCATGTTAGTCTTGAATTTTTATATACGCGTATAAACGTGTGCATCATGTGTCTATTATTTCACGGTCTGATGTTCTTTTAAATATGTAAATGCAGTTAAATAATTACACTTTCACGATAATCTAGAATTTGTGCCATTATATGTCCATTATTCACGATATTTGAGTTTTCCTATGTGTAAGTGCAGTTAAAATAAATACACTTTCACGATAATCTAGGATTTGCGCTGGTCTGAATATACGCGTCACAAATGAGGGCGAAACAATGAATTAACAAGTTATAGGTAGACTTCCATAAAAATGCGGGTAGATTTTCTCGTGTAGATAAACAATTAACGACATTGCGAGACACGCGAAACACGCGAAACACTTTGGAAAAGGAAATAGAGAATGCGATATCACATGTGGACTTTTAAAGGAACTGTGCCGCGAGATAATGGCTGTTGGACATATGAAATTTAATAATCGCCCTTACGCACGCGCATGTACAATGTGTAAAAGGGTCGCACGCCTATTTGGAGAGGATTATACCCTGTATCAAAACGGTCCCTCTGATTAAACGACTCGAGGAGAAAAGAGAAAAGAAAGAGGGAGATATATCATGATCCTTGAGGCAATATTTCACATGCTCTACAAACCGCTTATAATCATGAAGATGGACCAGGCGCAAATCGATCTGTTTCGATAGAAGATTCAATATCCTGATTGGAAAGTGCGCAACCATAAAAAAGTATTGTCGACACACGCATGAATTTATGTTGATTTACGATTTGAATTGGCGATCACTTTATGGAATCCGATTTGCAACGGTGCTCGCAATTATTGCACTGACATCGAGAGAACTGTAATACTGAATACTAATGATTTTAACACTTTAGAGTTTTATTTACCAAAACTTATTTCTGAAAAAAAAAAAAACAATTTTTGAAGAATGTTACTTTAATCAACGCATAATGTTGATAGTATTAAAAGAATTAGGGCCGTTTGTGTTGCAGATGAAAATGAGAAGATGGATACACGAGTTCTACTGTGCTATTAATCACAACTGGAAAAAAAAAAATATATATATATATAATTAAAACTAGACACTATAAAGTAACACTATAAAGTACTTATAAATTAATTGAACGATAATTCTTTATTCTATACGGATTGACACGAGATTGTACATTCATACTGCTAGTACGTTGTTCTTGAGATTACCAGCAGCATGAAAAAAAAAATACAACATTGCACGTGTCACATAATTCTCTCACGAGTCTCGTACTTCGACGTGAGGCGAAGGAAAAAATAGTTCTAATAATTCAAGATTCTTGGGGGAGTCAGCCACGTGCATGTAACAAACGCCAGGGTGAATGAAGATCATCCCGTGTAACACGTGCTGCGTTCAATGATCGATTGTGAAAAAGATACACAGCCATTTGGTGTAATTATATTTCCAAGGACGAATTTGATTTATAAATTTATAGGATGGACATGTAGTACAAGATTTATCACTGAATAAATAATGTCTGGTTCCTTAAGAGATGAATATGCAATTATTATTGAAGATTAATGTGCACTTGTCGTTGTAAATATCTTTAACAATTGCACTTTAAATGCGTCAATGGATTCTTTCTTGAAAAAGATAACGAAATAAAAACATTTTTCTTTAACTGTCTACATATATCACTCTTCTTTATTTTCTAAATATTGTCATATTATTTAAATTATTGAGATATTAAAGATATAATAAAGTAATTCATTTCATTTACGTTTACACTTTATAATCTACAGCTACAATCATTTTATTACATAATAAAATGCAGTAAAAATGCAATAACTACGGTAAAGTGTAATAAAACTTTTAATAGCTTGCCACTGCATTCCCAGGTCATTCGAACTTTGCGCATTTCTCTTCTCTGCCCAACATCAGTAACGCATCTAAAGCGCTTACGTGCCGCACACTTTCTACTTACGATATTAAAGTGTCTCAAGGCGCTGCGGGAGATGTGATATTTTATCAGGGTGCAACGTGACGCGTATCATGCGCCGACGTTACGTGCAAAGTACTTTCTTCTCCGTCGACAGAAGTCTCCTCGAGCATCCCTCGCACGTCTCATCTCGATCATCTTCGTTCGCATATTAATGCGTTATTACGTATACCTAATAAGTGAATCGCCCAAAGAAATTTCTTTCAGTCGCAAACAACTTATCATGGGCGCGTTACATAGTCAATATTGCGCGTAATCGTGCGTGGAACGCATACGATTCTTATCCACGACGGTAGTCTTTCTCCACGATCGCATATTGTGTCCCGAGCTATATCGTGGGATGAGATATGAGAGCGTCTTTCGTCACGGACACTCGATCGAGCAGTTCATGCTCCAGGATGCAGCCGAGCCGTGTCTAAGTGGATTTCACGCTCGCACGAATGTAAGAGTACGCGTGTATCATCGAGATGCGTTACGCCTGCACGGAACGAGCGTGCACGCGGGATTTTCTGTGTAAACGCACGTGTTAGCCATCCGGACGAGTCGACGATGTTGTACTGTAGCGTCCGGTACGGACCCTCGGGCTTATCGCGACATTATTTACCCCCATATGTCGATTTATGGCCCTTCCATTAGGGACGAGTCCGCCGGGCACCACGGGAGATCTACAATTCCAACGTCAGACGAGACCGGGGATACCGTCTCATTGGGAGACGAGAAATTCTTGTTCTTTATCACGCCCTTCGTTATGAGTTGGTAGATGAAATATTCGTCTGACTTCCGTTACAGTCTTGTATTCATTGCGAAATTCTAAATGAATCTCTAGATGAAGTTCCGAATGGAACTCTCCGACAGTAATGAACAACGCAGGAATGTACGGCATCAGATCTCGCCGAATTAATATTCCGTATATACTGATGTAATAGAAACTTGCGTGAGTGCATTTGTCATTTTGATTTGTGTTCTTCTTCTTTGTATTACAGAGACACCTGGACAAGGGAAGCGATCTTGCCGAGGCGGCGAGCGCAAGCGGACTTCGCGAGCTCGCGAGATCTTTGAAGCAACACCTACGAGGATTCGGCTCCCGCTTGGAGGATAGACGGGAATATCTGGAGGACACATCGAGATGTTGTCTTCTGCAGGATCGCGCCTACGAATGGGCGCAAGAAGCTCGCCTGGCGAGCGAGAGAAGGTCTCAGCAATTCTTGATGGCGAGGCCACCTCTACCACCCGAACATTTCACCGAGATGATGGCTCTGGCGGAGAAGCTCGGTAATGAAGTCCTTCTGGAGCAATGTCGTATCGCTCGAAATAAATGCGCGGAAGCCCTCGAAGTCGCCAGAACCACATCCGCTCCGGGAAGTCCTGCGAGGAGAAGATCTTTCGCCGTTTCCGAGTCGACTTCTTGGGACGACACTTTGGCTAAAAGTGAGACTCCTTCTTCTTCTCTTTTCTTAATGCTGTTGCAAGAAGATCTACAAGTTGAGATTAAATGTATTCCAGGGACGTCCTGGGACGATAGCGACAGCAGCGCGTCTTATGCTTGTCCGATGGAAAGCGTCGGATCAGGTGGTAGCGGTGGTCGACCAGTGTTGGACAATATCGCTGAACTTCGAGAGAGTGCCGAGCAGCTTCTGGACTGTTCGCCACCGCGTACACCTCCGCGAAGTCCGGCACCACGAAGGCTGGTTAAGCCACCAGTAAACTCGCACCTTCACAGATCAGCTAGTATCGCGCCAGGAATGAAGGCGAAAAAGTATGATTCTTGTACATCCTTAATAAATATTAATCCTTTATCTTTCATCTTTTCGATTTTAATTTTCCAAGATCAATTTGCAGCGAAAGTTTCAAAGAAAATTAAGAATTAATAAAATGAATAAAATGAATTAAAAAAAAGAAATATTTTAATTAATTGTAAAATAGAACAATAAATCACTTAGTATCCTAAGTGCGACATTTTATTGCTGTGTCAATACTATTTTAGTAGCGACCCATTATTCCACCGTAATATCCGTTATGCCATAGTACCGATTGTTATATGATCGTAACGAAGAATTTCACTTTGCAGAACAATACTGCTCATAATGAGGGAGATGATACAGACTGAACGAGACTACGTGAAGTCCCTCGAATATATAATAGAGGTAATTATTATATACATCTCGTTGAAGCTAATTTCATTATTTATCACACGTGCTGAGTAACATCTGTAAACTTTCTTGCGAAGAACTATATTCCGGAACTCGTACGGGAGGACATACCACAGGCTCTCAGAGGCCAGAGAAATGTAATTTTCGGTAATGTTGAGAAGATATACGAGTTTCACAGTCAACACTTTCTACGCGAACTAGAGCAGTGCGAGCAATCGCCCATGCTGGTGGGACAAAGATAGGAGAGAGCATATATATATATATATATATATATCACATTATATCTTTTTTAATAAATCCAAGACATAAAAATAAATGCCAAATGTGAAAATAACTTTCTTGCAGGAGAAGAAATTTTATCTTTACGCCTTGTACAATAAAAATAAACCAAATTCCGATTCGCTAATGGCAGAATACGGCACGAGTTTCTTCAAACAGAAACAATTAGAATTGGGAGATAAAATGGACTTAGCTAGCTATTTATTGAAGCCGGTTCAGCGAATGGGAAAATATGCTTTGCTGCTTCAGCAGCTGGTCAAAGCCGGCACAGATTTATCGGAACAATTGTCTGGCAAAGAGGAGAAGGAAGAAAAGGAAGACGGTATGAAACCGATGGTTGAAGGTGAAGCGGATTTAAGGGCTGCCGAGCAGATGGTGCGATTTCAGCTTCGACATGGAAACGATCTTTTGGCAATGGATTCACTTCGCGATTGTGACGTAAGTTTCATTTTATTATAATATGTTTAAAGTAATAAAATAAAATTGATAGATATCCACTTCAGTAAATGAGTGAGGATTATAATAATTTGCTCGATTATATTACACAATATAAAAGATGTGATGTTATTTCATAGGTAAATGTAAAAGAACAAGGTAGACTGTTGCGGCAAAACGAATTTTTAGTTTGGCAAGGAAAAGGCAAAAAATGCCTGCGTCAAGTATTCCTGTTCGAAGATCTTATACTCTTCAGTAAGGCAAGAAGATTTCCCGATAGGAAGGTAAGATTTTTCACATGTTGCTGCGTGTACATTAATGCTATATTTTTGTTTTATTTCATTACTTATATTTTTTTCAGAATCTTGATATTTACATCTATAAACATAGCATTAAAACGACAGATATCGGTTTAACCGCCGTTATCGCAGATTCGCCTACAAAATTCGAAATTTGGTTCCGCAAGAGGAAACCAGGAGATACATACACGTTACAATGCGCGAGTGAAGATATTAAAAAAGCCTGGACTGAGGAACTGAGCAACCTCCTGTGGAAGCAGGCGCTTCGAAACAGAGGTGATTTGCTATCTTTGCTACGTTTATAACAAAAAGTATATAATATATATTTGGAAGAGCGCAAATTACTATCGATAATGTTTTACTTTTTAGAAGTGCGCCTGGCGGAGATGTCGAGCATGGGTATTGGGAATAAGCCATGTTTAGATATAAGGCCTAGTGCAGATCAGATAAATGATCGCTCCATCAGTGTGGCTCAACTCTCTAAGAGTGAGTATAATTTATGAATTGTCGAAAATTATTGGTTTATATTACTGTTATGAATGTTAAAACAAATATTTCAATTTATCTGTACAGCACCTAGATTTAGAAACTCTATAGCAGTGTCAATGACGGAGGACTCCAGTCGTTGCAGCAGAAGGCCGCACAGCGTAATTTCCGTCAGTTCGTCCTCGAGCAGCGGTGGAAGCAGTGGTCCTCCTACTACGCTTAATCTTGGGTTAGATACGAGTCCACGACCGCATCATCGTAGTACTACACTGAACAGCCAATGTAGCGTAGGTGAGTACCACGTATGATCTCGATAATCTTTCAAGGAAATTTGATATCGATATTAATTTATTAAGTCAATATTCTCATTGTAGAAAGTGGTATTATCGCCGATATCTCAATTGTATCGGATGATGGAGGTGATGGCACTGAAAGAAGTCATTGGAATTCAACTCTGGAAAGTCCTACGTCACATCTACCTACAACTTCCACTCCACTGCAGTCACCAACCAGCGCAACAGCGGCAACAGTTACCCCTGCTTCCTCGACGGATACGAATCTCACATCTTATGACCAAGATATGTCTATTAATCTATGAACTTTGCTCGACACGAGGAAAAAAAAGTCTATCATTGATTCACTTGCAAGTTTTTGTTACGATTACAAAGACGTAATACATTATCGTGGCATATTTAGATAAGTATAATGAGGTAACATTGTCGCACGCGTACTGTAGCATTAGAATACATTGTACCCTTGAGCATCTATAGTTTAATGACGTAAAAATATAGTTGCATGCAATTCGGTAGATCGCCGCATTACGCTTAACACGTGTGCCCAGCTACGAACTTGTAATCGCATTACATAAACGTAGATCTTTATCTTAAAGTTGCGGAGATGTGGTACCGAATTTTAACATTTTTAACTTTCAAGTGAATCCGTCTGTGAATCTATCTTTTGATACGCTTCGAAATATCCAAATCTATGAGATTATAAAGCTATTACTTATGAAGCTCACTAATAACCGGTTTCTGAAGTAATGGTAACGTGTATTTTCTTATTCCGTCTATTGATTTTACCAACGTGCTCAAGATGAGACAAACGTGTTCTATCAAATGTACGCTCACTTGTCGAGGTATGCTACAGTACCATAAACGATATAGAGAGAATTACAGCGGCGGAAAATTTCATGAAATTTCCGATGACTTATAACAGAGCGAGAGAGAGAAAGAGAGAGAGAGAGAGAGAGAGAAAATGAGAGAGAGAGAGAAAGAGAGAAAAGAGTTTTATACATTTATTTATATTATAGTTAATAAATAGTAATATTTCAATTCCACATTGTGTTCGCGCTTATCTTTATACTATATTAAGGAAAATATATAATCATTTTAAAAACACAATGCGTACAGAAATTGAAGAAAAAATATATTTTCCTTAATAATTATCCATATTATATCGATGTTATCTCTCGAGGAGATGCATTTAATAAGTTAATTATGGATTATATATTCAGGAATGTCAAATCAATGCGCACACATACATACCAATTTGTAATATAATGTAATATCAAAGGTTTATACAATGTAGCCGCAAATAATATAACCGATAGTTTATATATTATTTCCAGATTATCAAATATATATATATATATATATATTAATATAATATTATATTCTTTTTATGTCAGAGTCATTTGTAAAACCTTTTATCACCCGTCGTAGATGTAAATCTAATTCTGGCCTGTACTCGAAAGCCAAATTTCTTTTTATGAAATACTATTATGTTTAAGAAATAAATTTGTTTTTATATACACGTGTGGATAAATGTTTTGGAACAGCTTAGGATCAATCAAAATGGTAAGCTTGCCTTAAGACAATCCACACTATATGTTCTATTTTTTTTTATAAATCAATTGTTTCGACTATGCAGAATCGCTCATATCTTCTTACTTAACAGCGAACCGAAAATATTTATTGTAGATATAATAATTATATATTAAAATATTACTGTTAAAAAATTAAAATTTGCAATATTAAGCAATTTTAAAAGATAATATTTGAGAAATGGAAAAATTAAGATCAATTTCATGAATCTTTAAATAGTTTTTAACACTAATTAGAATATATGAGTGAAATAATAGCTGTTTGCCAATATGTGATTCTGCATTGTTACATTTGCTTCCAAATAAGTCGATTATTTAGCCATCTTTATTGCCAAGGTCTGTCAAGGTACTGTAAGTACCTTATGGATAATGACCAAACTGTTTATTTCATACTTTGTTTTAAGGACAAAAGTCGCAAGTATCTAGAAGTGTAGCTGTAGATCATAGAGTATTATAAAGAATTTGGCACAGTCCGATGCACCCTATTTTATTACAAATTTAATCACAATTTATAATGATTTTTAATCAAACGTAATTAATTGTGTTTACCTGAATTTAAATTATAACGTTAGTATGTCATGCCATACCATATGTACATCGGTGCACCTGGCTGAGCATCCCGAGCTTCGAAAGTAAAACTAAGCAAAAGAAAGTAAACAATCTCTATTTTCCACATGTCTGTGAATGAGTGTTTGGTGTTGCTTTTGAATTAGGGATGTTGGAGTAACAATAATAACAAAATAGTACCTTATAAGAAAATATGCCGATAGTCACTTAATATTACACTTTCTTAGATATTTATTAATATTTTTTTAAGTAGAACATTTTAGTCTCTCTAGATTAAGTATTTCCATTATAAATGACATGTATATATTACATTTAACACACGATTATTTCAGTATTGTACTGTGTCTAACACCGATGTATTTTATTACTTGCTAAATATACTGTATTGGGTGCCTTTTGTAGAGAACTCAAATGTTTTTGTGAACGTTATCACACCGTATTATCTACCACGTATGTCTACCATTTCCAGTATGTAATTATTTGCCGGAATAAATATTTTGATGTTTCATATGTTTCGAATGATTATTACAATCGTCATTTTGGCATTTAGTTTTTGCTCATAATAAAATTGCTATAAATAATTTAATAATTTACTTGTAGTATGATCAATGCAATGCGTTTTTATATCTGATGTAACATTTCTTAATTGAAATGTGAAAAACAATATGCATTTGTTAAGTTTTATTTTTGGATATGATTGTCATATTAATTCAAGAAAAGCAATTATAAGTGGCTGCAATGTACAAGTATATGCTAAATATCTTAATGATTTGAAGCAGTTACAAGGCACGCGAAAGGCATGTAAAAGTCATTATTTTATAAAAGAGATATTCTCTTATGTTTAACCTAATTTTAAGCCATGCATATATTTAAGTTCTATGAAAAAGTACAATCATCTTGATAATATTTATTAGTAGACTATAAATAGATGACATATATTTTTAAAAATTTATAGTTCAAACACGACTAGTCATTGTTTCTTTAAGCAAGAACGTTACAAACACTACGTAATAAAAATTAAAAAAATCCCCCCCTTCATAGAATTTTTAAAACTACATAACTTTACAAAACTCATAGCATTTTAAATATGTACAAAAAATATGTCCACAAAAAATAAAAAATGTATAAATATCTTAGCAATTTGCAATTATATAACAGTGCATTTTGTTTTATGTTTAAAATTGATATCACATGCCGAAAAAGTCATTGTTTGTCACAAATGTTTTTTATCTTGTTTTAAATCGTCAGGACAAGAAGCAGATTTCTTAACACTTGTGAGATCTATTGTCGAATTATTTAAACCTGGTTCTTGTTTTCGCGAAACAAATTCTATTTGTTTCTTTTTTAATAATGATCCTCCTGTGAAACCTAAAGACGAATAATTGCTCACCATCTTTATTTCTTATACCGTTATTACTCTTATATAATTATTAATATAATTATTTCAATATCCAATTTTATAATTTTATATAAATTATAACTTATAACTTACCTAAAATGCCACAACCTACAGCAGCAAGACCTCCAATTTTCAATCCAGCTATTAAACCTATTGGTCCTCCAATACATGTGCCTATCATAGCGCCTGCTAGGGGATATGCAGCAACTTTATATGCGGAAGCCTTTTGCAGATATTTTGCTCCTTCATTCACGTTTGTTTGAGTTTCTTCAATATTATCTTCCATATTATCTACCATCTCTTTCTGATCCTATAAGATTACAAAATATGCATTTAAATAATAAAAACTAACAATCTGCTTCTTCTTTTCATGTGCTAATGCACGAAAAATTTAGAAACTACTTTTTATTTAATTATCTTTTTAAAACGTATCATATAACACAAAGTGAAATTATACTCACATGTACAACTTTGTTAAATTCGGTAAAAAGTTCGTGCAACTGTTGTATATCTCCCTGCAAACGATTCCAGACATGCAGACATGTCTGTTGACATTGCAAATTTTCCTGTTCTGCTTGCAGTTGAATATTTCTGTTGTCAAGTGGATGTTCGATTTCATCTGGTTGAATTTCTTTGTTTGTAGATGACATAGATGGTGATGTCGAAAAATTCAGTTCCATTTCTGTAAACAACAATTGTGTCCACATTAATTTCTTAGAATTTTATTGATCAAAAGAGTATATTGTATTATGTTTCTTACCTAGATATTCTTCGATCGCGCTCATGATGCTTGACCGTGCATTTGTTGTCAATTTGTCAAATTTACTAATGTCAACATCGAGGACCTGTGCTCTAAGAGTGTCCATCTGATACAACAACTCTTTCAATTGCTTGACGATCCGAGAGACATTTACATGTTCCTTCCGTACCTGCTCCCAATCATGCTGATCTTGATACTGCAAAGATTTCAATTGCTCGTATTAAAGACTTTAAAAATATAGGATATGTAAAACTACATGTTTACCTTTTTAATGTTGTTCTTGTGTCGCTTTAACAAATTTACATGATGTGGAATAGCAACATTGAAATTATTGATCTGGATTTCCAGACGTCTAATAGGCTGCTTAATCGTAAGATTCTCCATTGAGGCCGACATATTTCTGGTAATGTTTTTCTCCACTTAATTACGATGTTGTATATTTTATCTCTTTGTGACTTTTTTGTATCTCTTTTGTTCCACAGTATCAAAATCTACTCTTTTCATTCCAGTCTTTTTGTAGTTCTTATAATGAAAATTCCTCACGACAAAAACGTTGGTGAAATACGATAAGGTTTGGTAACTACGTCTTATTATTTTACCAAATGCACGCGTGCCTTGTCTCCGTCCAAAATAAATGATCAGCTGTTATCACTGTTGATCGCGTACTGTCAAAAAAAGACTGATTCCCTCCCCATCTGTAGTAGTGAATTCGTACTAAGTGGCTACAAGTTTTCACATAACACTGTAAGATGGCAGATAATGTATCTTTTTATGTCCGTTTCTATCAATGCAGTTTAAATAAAGCTTTGTATAATAAAACAAGAAATCTCTCGAAACAAAATATTTTTTTATCAATGTAATATTTTTATTAATCTCTCTAATATAGTATTTAATTATACTGAAACTATATATATTTTATTATACAGAAATGAATCAATTAAGGATGTTCGGAAAAAGTCCAGAAATTATTTCTAAAGTGTTTTATTTTGGAAGTATTGACTTATAATGCCAGTAAAATATTATATTTATTTACTTTTCGATCATTATATGAATCCTTATGATTCTTAATGAGACGTTTAATGCACTTGTGATTGAATTCTATCCTATCTCCTATCTAAGGAATGAGTTCCTTTATACTAGCCTTGTATCTTTATTAATTTCTACATATCTTTCATATTTTGTTCGTGTCATATTATATTTAATATTGCATTTTAATATCAACTTCAGACAATCTTTAATTTAGTCACATTTGAGATGCAATGCTATTCGTAATAAATAATTTATCAAGTTTGCATGTATATTAATGTAATATTTCATATATGAGTATTTCATATTCTAACTCTCTTTAACTCATTTTTCGTTTATTACATGGCTAATAAAACTACAAATAGAATTTTATCGCGAATTCCAACACGAATTATTGCGGACTTTGTTCGTAAAATACAAGAGAAATATTGCCTCAATGAACGCGCATATTTCGCGTTTACCGCTCGTCAAAAGTGCGCTTTTGTGCAAATGATCGCGAAATGGAACGTCAGGTGATATGACATTTCACCAAACGTCCTGAATAACGAGTTGTAATGATATAAAAAGGACAATCACTAATTGTGATTAATCCTGATGTCAGTCTTTGCGCTAAAGGATGCCGCACACACTTTCTTTAATAGTAGCCATAAAAATTAGTCAATCAGAGCTGAAGATTTTTAACAATTCTTGACTGTGATTGATTAATTCTTACGGTATGTTTTACGGTTACAGAAAGTGCATTGGCCCCCTAATGCTTGTTCTACAATATAGTCGCAAGACAAAGCCATAGAAATTAACCAATCACAATTGATTATTTTTTTCATATTCAATTAACTGTGATCAGGCCAGTATTCATAGTTAATTTTCAGTTAGTCTTGTATTATATTTAAGTTTATCAAATGTCTTAAGTCAATCATACAAAGACGTATTAGTATCATAAGACATTACTTAAGAGGATTTTCAAAAACAAAACTGATAATGAATACCAACCATATAATTATGCATACATAATGTAAACCAGGAATAAGACTGCATTCCAAAATTTCATCCGAGTTCTCGAAATGTATCATTTTATCCTTATTTCACGTCTAATCCAATGAGAAATGGAATTGACAATGAATCGACATCGATTTCATTGTCATTTCTCACTAGGAACGATAAAAATATTAAAAATAGAATAACCCAATAAATCATTATGTCAAAATGACTTTAAAATAATCATTAAAAGTGATTTTTCAATAATGTCCGATTTAATATCACGTTACCGTCACTTGTTCTGCTTGGGGACGCACTAGGCACTCAGGCGATTAGTTTCGGAACGCAGCCTGACGAGCGCGCCAAAAAGCAGTGAACTGCGCATGCGCGGCCGCGGTCGCCAAAGTTATCGTCGCCATTATTTCGCGCGTTTCGCGTCGTTGTTGGCACGCGAATTTTCGTGATTTCCGCATGAAAAAGTAGTACTCGCGTGAAAAAGTAGTTTCTCGCGTACGAATAAACGTCGGGAGTGTTGACTAAAGTGTCGAATAAAGTATCGAGTAATGCTAAAGATTGCCACCTGAAAGTGGTCAATCGGCGCGCGCGACAACAGGTAACGCGAGTAAACCGCCGTCGCCATTTGTGTCAAACATTGTTCGTTGTATGTCCGTTGGCTCGAAATCGTGCGTTTGACACGTTCCGTCAATAACATAATCGGTTAATCGTCGCGTGCACACCTTTATATATCGTTTTCTCACTACACCGCGCATTGTGCAATCGGGTATTAAAAGTGTCGGCCGGCCTGTCGAACAGACGAATTAATTCAAGTACGTATATATGTGCCAACTGTAATTGGGGACTGGATTTCGGAGTTGCTTTGTATTCATTACTTTCCAGTCAAAATATGAAGCTTGAAATTGACATTAATTTTCTTTCTGCGTCCTTTTTCTTAAATGCTACATTATGGAAATAATATTCATTAGATGTATACTCGATTAAATTAGATTTTTATAACTTTCATAAAAAAAAATATTGTAAAAAAATTATTTTATTTAAAACGCTAGATATTAAGAAACGATACCAAGCAAATAATATCCCGAGAAAAAATGTTTCATATATATAATTATATATTATATAATTATATATAAAGTCTGTACATATATGTAACATTTTTTCCTGGGATGCATCTTTATTAATATAAAATGTTAAATATAATGAAAAAGTTATAAGCAATGTGGAAAAAGTATTAGAAAAAGAAATTTGGATATGCCATACTGAAAAGGTTTAAGGATGCATATGATAATATTGGATGTAACTGATAATATTGATAACTAATAAATTAAGTTATATAAGCAATTTATATATAATTATATTTATTGCAGATATCACAAATTTATTTAATGGAGTTGATGAAAGGCAATGCTAGATGATTCGTGATATGATGCAAGTTGAGATGCATATGATGACTAGTGTTGATTATAGAAAAGAAGCAATTTTGGGTATGTCTGATTAAAGATTTTTTTTTTGTTAAGCTTATGAGAAGAACAATTAGTAAACTAAAAATCTGTTAAATGAAGAATAATTATGTAGGAATAGAATTTTTTGAGAATTTTTTTACTTGAGAGTTTAATAAAAAATTTCTGATAAAAGTGTAGCAAAATATAAATAATAAAATAAAAAAAAATATAAAATATGTATAATATAAATAAAATATATAATATTATATAATAATATAATGTATTAATTGCATTATATAATTACATAACATAATATAACATAATATAACATAATATAATATCATATTTACATATATAAGACAAAAATGATATTGCATAAACAGCAGATTACTTAAATATCATCTCATTAATTTAATAATAATGCTAATGAAACTGATAACATTATATTAGAACAAAAGCCATTAGTATTTGTTTTGTTAATATTATTATTTAATTAACGAGATTACTTTCAATTGGACTGCTATTAACTATGTTAATACATTATTTTTCCTACGTAAATATTCAGAAAATTTTGAAACGAAATAATTACTTTTAACGTGAAATAAATTATATGGTATGATCACATGGATTTTTTGTTCCCGCTACCTTTCGATGCAAAAACTTAGATTTAGCTAGTATTATTTTAAATTTTAATGACACATGAGAGATGCATAATCTATCGGAGGAATAGGAACCTCGTGATAAAGGATCAGAAGAGAAGCCACGAGTGGAATGCACGAATTTTACGAAAGTCAGTCGATATGTCGATTTACCGTATTAGCTTTGACACACAATCCATTTCCGCGAATTGAAGATTCGACGTGAACGACACCCGAGGTACCGTGTACTTTTATCCCGCATCCAACGAAAATTATGGACAGCACGCGTGCGAGATGTACGCACCGAGATGATCAATTATGCGATTCCGGTACTCGGTGGGTTCGTGGAATCCCGGTGAGTTTTACAGGGGGTCGCCGAATGTACAATTTGGTATAAAGCCCGGCGAAGCTTTTGGTAATGAAAAACCGATTGTGACCAAATAGGCTCCGGGCTGCTGGTGACGTGTAATCGAGTCTTCTCTTCTGTCGCTTCGTCGTATCCACCCTCGGCCCCTTTTTGTCCTCCCTTGCGTCTACCCCTCCCCCCCCCCCTCGTCCTCCCTCTGTCCCTTGATTTTCCCATCCGTGCTTCTTCCTCCACCCGTGATTTCTCCTCCGGCTTCCATTAGCCGCCATACGTCGTCTGTACACAGAGATCCGTTTTGTCCTGCTTTCGCATGACCTTTTATTTCAAACTACCGTATTCAAATTACCGCGGGCTATCTGGATATTCGATCCTTTGACCTTTTGTCGCCGGACGTTTAGAAGCGCTTTTATACACCGGTCAGGATTTCCTTCATCGTTCACCGCTATCTAGATTGTGTTAAATACAGGATAAAGAATAATTTACTTTTTTCTTGAATTATTTTCAGTTAGAGTTGATTATTTATGATAAATATGCCTTTATGTGTACATAATTTTATTTTGCATATACAAAGTGTCATTAATTTTCCTTGAAATTTTTCTCAGTAATTCGCCTATAAAATTCACTTTTAGTCTTTAGCATATTTTTAAAATATAAAACCTTGAAATTATTTAATGCATAAATATTATGAAAAGTTGTTTTTCTAATGAAAATGCTCTTTTTATCATCACAAATTTTTAAATTCTAAAATGCATTTTAATTTCGTCGTTTCTGACATTAGCAGTTTTATAGATTCAATTCTTTGAGAAATAAACAAATCCTAATTTTAAAAATATTAAGTATATAGAAATAAATTTCTTTCAATATATTCTAAAATATACTCTAATTTTTATAGCGATTGTATTACATGATGTATATAGCGATAAAAAGATCCTATTATTTTTATTAATAAAAATATTAATTTGTTATATCGACTTGTTCACCAATTATATTAGAAGATAATTAGATCTTAATTTTGCATGGAGAAGAAATTGAGATTACAAGGAATTAAATTTATGGATAAATCTACTATTCCAATTTACTTGATTTGCGTCTCATATCTCAGATATGTGAAATTATTATAATTATATTTGACATTGAGAGAGAGAGCGAGAGCGAGAGTGAGAGCGAGCGAGAGAGAGAGAGAGAGAGAGAGAGAG